CTATCTAACGTGTCACCTAATATCTCAAATGAAATCATCCTTTTCTAATTTAAAAAAATATAGACCGTGTCACGCATATCCCACATAGGTGCCGGGATAGATGACCCCGCGTATAAACGTGTTTTAAGTTTAACTATTCATGTCAAGGGAAGATAACGTTGAAATTCCAAATTCTGTCGTACATTTTCGTATATTTTCGTCCTCTGATAAGGTGTTTCACTTGTAAGGAGGGAGGCCACGTTGCAGGAAAATGTAAAAAGAAAAACACTCAATCCACTCAAAATTCATTAAGTTTATTGTTAGGATCACATAGACAGGTCAATGTGGAGGAAATAAATGTTAAACAGTACAATTCGCCTATCGAACAATGAAATGTAAATAATGTTGTTCAACAAACAGTTACAGGGATAAAAGAGCACACTCGCCGTCTTCCAGCCCATCAGAATTAACCTCTATATCACCCGTTAACTTCCTTAATAAGCCTTAGTTTAAAAAACAAAAGATATACAAAAACACCATCGAAAAACTTAACGATGAACCATTCTATGAGTTCAAGTCGCCGTTTCCAGGAAGCATTGACGTTTTATCATACCTATACCAAATTTTGTGAATATGTGACCGAAGTTTAATAATTATTATAATTTATAACTCCTTTGTAATATTTTATAACTCGAGTTCAAAGTTTGACACATGAACGTAGCGAGTGTGTGAATTGAACCAGTTGAAAAATACTTTTTTCTCAAGTTTTACACATATTTTTTTCTGAAACTTCAATCAAAATTCAAAAATTATCGTATACAGTAATGCAGTTTGAATCATAGCGATGTATATACGGGTATACGTTTCAATTTTAAATGTCATTATTAAGAATAATGCTGCAATTGTTTTTTCACTAGAGCGGAAAATCACATTTTCCTCACCCTTTTTAGAGACGATAGTAGTTGTTTTTAAAGTAGTTTTAGAAAAAAAAGCATTTAACATCATAGAGATGTGCCTAGTAGAGTGCCTCCATTATTTGTACGGATGGCACCAGAAATTAAACAGGTGTAGGTTGCGGTAATCGATCCTCGGTTGATACGAACTCACTGGTCAAGAGACTATACTGTTAACAGGTCATATACGACGACAATAGCTCGATTACAATTTGCTCACGGGCAATATCCAGTTGATTTGTGTAGAGTTGGGTTGGCACACACACCTATTTGCATATGTGGAGAACAAAGGGACCTCTTGGAATCCCCCAAAATAGTTTCTCATTGCAAAAATGTTTATATTTCATTCAAAATTTTCTAAACTTTATCTACACGTGAACTAAGTTTTATATACGTAGGTATGTTTCCTACAGAATTTTCTTTAATTTTCGCAGTCCTTGCAGCATTGACATAAATGACCCAGATTCCTACAAGACGTAGCCTTGCTTTTTATTTTCTCCCTGTATTTTATTTTGCTCGTGTTTCTTTGGAATTTTCTGTCGTAGTTGTCGAGAATTTTTAGGTCACACACAATTTCTTCTTGTTTCCCCAAAACCTTCGAATATCCTCCAGAATTCCGACTAACCTTTTTTTACATTACTTTAAATTTATTTAAAGATTGATTATTTGCAAATTTTCCAACATGTTTTGTTAGAATACTTCGTATTTCTTCATAATCTTTTGCGGTTTCCTTAAAATTTCCGCCTATAATTTGGCAAAGGTACTAATAAATTCCTAAACATTTTCATATGTTCCTTCCCCATTTCTCTAAAATTTCCTTATAATCTTTTAGAACCTAAAACTTACCCTTACTCTTCTAGATCCCATTAATTTTACTTTCGAAAGATTATCTCACAATGTTTCCTTTAAATCACGTAAGTAACCTTTTTTATACGAAATAAATGCATGTACCTACTCTTTTTAGAATTTACTTTCAAATTTCAATACCTACATCTTTTTTGGCGTTAATTTCCACACGAAACTAGTTCATTTTCTATTTTCTAAAATTTGCAGGCGTTAATTTTAGTTCCTTATAACTCCATTGAATTCCAATTCCCCAAATCTGTATCTGTATGTGAAGTTCTTCGTAGTGTTTCCTCAGGCTCAGAATGTCCTCCTGTTTTGTCTAAATTTCCTTTTAGGGAATACGACAATTTTATCATCTCGGGAAATTTACCCCTACTCTCATACAGGTTGTTTTTATGAGCTTTAGTTTAACGTTTCTGGGAAAGTGAAATAGGTAAATTTTTGAAAATTTGTACGTAGCAGTTACTCTGAAGGCCGAATCGATGTAAACATTTTCAAATAGCGGCACTACCGAAAATACCGGAAGTAGCTAGTAATTTCGTCTGCATCCACCATTGTTTAAAGTCAAAAAACTTACAAACCATAAATAAAGATATCGCCATGTGGGTATCAAAAGAACTGAACATTCACGTAGAATCCAAAAATTAGGGGTGACCATTTAAAATAACAAAGTTACTAGCTACTTCCTGTATTTCCGGAAGTGCAATCATTTTGAAAATATCAATTCGGCCTTGAGAGTAAGTCCTAATTACAAATTTTCAAAAACACCTACATATTTCACTCTCCCAGAAACGTTTAACTAAAGCTCTCAAAAAAAAATCCTGTATTCCTATACCCTCCTCAAGATATCCGGAAAGAGACGCTACATGCTATGTTACAAATAAACAATAATTAATTGCTTCATTTATTAAAAAAATTTTGTACTTGATAGTGTAGGGGTATTGAATTACGTTTAAACTTGAACAATTTTTGGCTTAATTGTCGTATTGTACTTGAACCGAAATTCTATATATAACGACTAAAAATAGATAAAGTTCGCGACGCAAACCATTAATTTGGATTTCGTGCGAGGAAGCTTTCCAAATGTACAACATCCATTATTTTGAATTATTGTGTATCTTCACACCTGGATACACCTTTAGGATTAAACTTCACCCCACGATAACTTCGTTTGTTCGTTATTTTAGTATAATGTTACGCACATGGTAATTCCCGTAGTAAAAGCTTGCACCACAAATCTCCGCTAATGCATTCGTCTCTTATTTGTAAAATCTATCTTAGTTATTTGTTTTCATTACCTACATATCGATTCGTAATCACATGGGACCGGCCCCCCTTAATACAAATACTTAACCATTAATGGGACACCGGATCTCTGCAATTTTCTCTGACAAAGCGATTAGTGCATAGGGAGTTGTGAATACGCATTGTTGTATAGAAAAGTGCGGACACATAAACAATAACCGACCCCTCCTGTTATACAACACCTTTCATTTGTCAATCATTCGGTATCATCGCCTTGATTTTGGATTACTCATTCTCCTTTACACCGCAATCACTGCAGCAACAAAAAAGCAATCAAGTTGAAACTGGTTAGTTGAATAAAATAAAATTTAATTTAATTGGAAGATGCCTGAAAATGCTAGTAGTTACTTTATACGTAATGGTCTTTATGGTCAGCAACTTAATGCTAATTGGCGTATATGTTATAAGATATTAGCAATAAAATTTTATTCCCCGTTTTTGAGGTAAATTAGAATCAATCGTGTTTACTTTACAAACAAGAGTCGTGCTCTATCACAGACAATGTTCCACCACACTCTCGACTAGTAAATCAACCCCTAATCGGCGTGATGCAGAGGGTTGCAAAGCTTCCCAAATAATTCATGACACTGTCCTATTTATGTTTCTATTTTATATCCCCGGCAAATGACTTTGGGGGAGAAAATTTCTGGATTATAAATTTCTATTTTCGTACGGATTGTGATTACATAAAAAAGCTGCACGAAATCCAATTAGGAGGTGTACGTAGACAAAAAGAAGTCCTATAGTCACAAAAAAATAAGGGAATTTTTTCGTTAGAACTAAATTTATTGACGATTCCTTAAAAATAAATTATGCGACAGTAAAACAAACCTGGCCATTCGATAAGATCTATCTAATGGTCAAGTGTCATCACACTATTTTAACGATTGGATATGCGGTCAGGTAAAATGCTTGGCAGAGCCTGATATACGATACCTGCTTACTATCTCTTCATCTAACTAACGTAATTAAACGAGACAGTCAACTTCAGGTTGTTTATTTATCGTACGAGACTCGCCCATTATTCGCATTCCTTATAAACAAACCACCATTTTTTTCTTTTATTTTGGACATTTTTCTGTATTGCTGTTATCGCAGATTTGTGTGTGGGTGAGAGGAGGTGCACTTGCAGGGGATTTAGATTGACAAAGGGCGAGTGGAGTAGCGAAACTACCCCCTAAGTTCAATCACTAGTCGGGGCATGTGCATTGGTACCTAATACTCAGATGCACAAAGGATTCTCTAATCATTTTCTTTTCACCTGCTACCCATAACGTCTGGCCCATCCATTTTCAGAATTTATAAACTGGGTGCGTTGGTCCATGAATCGAAGTGTTCCCTAGATTCTAGAAACATCGTGCAGGTGCATCATCCTGTTGAAACCAACAGTTTCCAACTTTTGATTTGTTTGTGTTGTGCCGTATATCGTTGCTACTCAATACTTTTTTTACGAGTCATATAAAAAAATAAGTTCTCGGAAACGAAACGTTGTGTTGAAACTCTCTCAATGGTCTTGTAGAGAGCTCAAAAAGTGGCAATGCGAAAGTGTTTCTATCTTTTTCTATTTGTTAACACCATCAGGAAAAAATTAAAACAAAATCGGCAAATTTCGGTTTTTCTGGCATATCTTCGAAAGTAATCGGAATTTTGTGGTTTAATATAACTCTTTAATTGCGCATCTTTTCTTTAATTTGACTATCGTCGTATCTTCTATGGTTTCAGATATCCCTATAATAGACACCCTTTCCTTGACAGTGGCAATAACACTTTTACTGCTTCCTGCCACTTTACGGACCAGAACTCAGAAACGGTACTTAAGTCCATAGTTACTAATAATATGGCTTGAAAGTGCATAGAATGCGAATGGATAAGGATAGAGCAGGTAACTGAAATACTTCGTTTGTCAAAGTTAAAAAATGTTAATAATCTCATAGTGTATTGCAAGAAAATGAAGTTTTACAAATTACATATTTATTTATGTAGGTATCATTTGCAACAATATTTCATCGTTCCACAGGCACCGCTGCAAAAAGCATGGCAATATTAGGAACTTATCTTTTGTTAAGCAATATAACAACTTACTCTTGTCTTTCTCCGGATTTACAATCATTCCTGCATTCACAGCCGGCAAAAACCACTCCGTTGAATGTGACCATCACTATACTAGCAATGACCATACATAATATAATAGAGAACTTCATTCTTGATAGACTCGGTAACTAGTATAGCTGTCTCGAATCGTAGGCGCATTTTATACTCTGCGTAGATTATCCAAAACTCATTCAAATCTATCAAGTAGATAGTAATGGCTATCATTTTCTTATCAAAGTCATTATTGGGAGTATTTTGTTGTTTGTTGTTTTCTTTCTTAACGTTACTTTAAGGTTATGATTAGAGCTTGCGAGTATCTTAAATTTTTTATTCCAAAGATTCGCAAATCGTCTTCACTGTAATAAGGAATCCACTATGAATGGGTTCAAAGAAGAGCAAGAGGGAAGGGAGGACGAAAACGAACAAATGAGGTACAAAATCGCCACTATAATACGTGAAAAATTTCACAGAAAAGGAAAATTGGCATGATAGCTTTCAGGGGAAGGGTATTCCATACCACCGAAAAATTCCCGGTGCTACATTCTTCCCCAAAACGAAATCAATGAATTTATACTATCTATCAACTATAGACTGATGTTTTCAATCAATTAGCTTAATTTAATACGAACCTAAAAGGCGATTTTCTCCAATGTGTCATTTAAAATTGCTATCATTACAGTTTTAAGTAGCGTCTTCAGTTCGTGCAAGATGGCGAAGATTTATAGGTAATAAAGCTAAAGAAGCGGACAAATTTGAAGTCTGCTAAAATAGTACGCATTTTAGAAATTTTGGTTTTCTTGACTTAAAAGCTGCTCTAATGTAATACCAATGGTAGTACGCATTATGCCTACAAATTGCTTTGACTCCTCACACTGTTTGGGTTTCAGGAAAACGCGGGGGAAGGTAGGCTGTAGTGCCTCATTTATATTTTTGTTAACCGTGCAAGTTTTCAAATCTTCATCTTGAGGGTTGAAGCAAGAGTCCAGTGCGCGTGCTCTATAAGGTTCGCTTCAAAAGAGATTGCCGTGGAAAGTCATGCGCCTGCTATACAAATTTATAAACACTCACCGATGCCACTTACTTTAATATTCCATACCACCGCATGAACTTGATATGAAATTTCATAATCGCGTATTTTTAGCAGAGTATTTTGCACAACTACATCGAAAAACAAATTTGAAGTACCCGCACTCAGTAGAGAGAATTCGATGATAATATTAATCAATAGATTAGGCTTTGTTTCATTGTTACCTAATCTATGAAGTGTTTGGTCCAGATCATAGTGCGCCTTAAAATACTACCGAGTGAGTTTTGACGCCTCCAAAAATAGCTATTTCAGTTTAACTTTAAATAGCCACTCTGTATAATTATAATTGTTTACAAAAAATAATGATCATTCAAACCTTTGATGAATTTAACGAAGCTATACCGTGCCCAAATCACGAAATGGAAAACCTTGCCGGCTTGCCCTAATAGGAAATTTTATGGATTACAGTCCTAGCGATGAAGGATGGAAGATTAGTGTTGTAAGCGATGTCCTCCTACTCCGAACCATTCGAAAACAATTTCTTTTGCGTTGCTCAGAACTGGCTTTGCGAACCTTTTTAAACTCAAAATAGTACAATCAACACGTGCAACGCGTGCTCTGGTGGTTAAAAAAATTGCCCGTTGAAGAAATTCGGTTTTAGAACAACCCACGAAAGTGGAGCGCTTATATCTTCACATTTCCTTCCGTCTGTCTGTCGTTCCGTGCTATACCTCAGTCTCTAGACCTTGTATCGACTTCGGGTTTTCGCTAAATGGAAGTTTTGTTATTTAATTTAGCTCTAACACTAGATATTATAAACTAATTACTCCACCTCTCCATCGAACCAAGTGTTCCGAACGATCCTATGTTTATAACGATGCGAAGATATACTACCTTAATGATGTTAAAATGCTGGGGATTGTTTCATTTAAAACTAAGTTAACACTGGATAGACAGAACGTGAGTCTTTGATACATTCTTCCACATTATATTATATAAATTTTATGTCATCACATCTTTTTAATTTCTCTTTGTACACGCATCCATCATTTATATTTAATTTATTTATACTGGTTTTTGGTTCATTTAGTGTAAGACAAAATTCGGTGTAACGATACCAGTTATATAGTTAGGGAAACTGTTGTTGGCTGCACTAGACGATGTCACCAGAAATTTGGCCGTTCAATAATTAAAACCTTTTTAGCTTCGTTTTTACATTTCCATTCGTGAATTTAGGGGTGAATTTTTGTTTGTTTTAAATTGAGGTTAAAAAAATGATCCGATTTTGCTGAATAGGTGACGGGTAGACATTTTTTGTACTTACTGCATGTCACATTTCAATATACCTACCCCCGTATACGTATTAAATTACATTTACCGTTTAAACACCTGTTTTAATATGTAGTCCGCACTGATTCACCATTTAGTTCATGAAAGAAATAGATATCAGTTCAGTTTCTAATTCATTGCGAATCGGACGCGTTGTTACCTATATTTCATTATTCCGTTTTCTATCCCTACTATTTGAGTACGGTGTAAGTACGATGTCGCATGGTGAGTGTTATGCATTATTTTGGGTTTTATTTAATATAGACCTTTCTCCATCACCCCACCCAAGGAAATGTAAATTGTAATTTTTGGAGTTTTTCGCCAAATGCAATAGTGTCTAGCCAAATAAGGGGATGCTAATTCCCAAAGACTTTTTTTATAACATTCCCACAACACCGCTACAAGATAGAACATAAAAAGTTAAAATGTTATGGGCATCAGTAACTTGCCGAAAACAAAAAATATGCTCTGCTCTTCCACTTAACCTACTATTGCACTGTTTCTGTTTTTTTATCTGAACGAACTCCGAAGCTGCGCTTTTTATCTAAAAAAAACAGTCTATACCTACAACAGTAGCTATAGATAATTTTCTGTACCTAAGTGTATAATAAATGTGCGGAAATTACATAGGTAAATCGGAATGGCGTTAATTGACTACACGCAATTGTCTACAAGTAATCGGTACATCCTGTATCCTTCATCAGCAAAAGGGATTACTGTGAATTAGTGACTCTCTTTGCTTCTTGTTTTTGTCTTGCGCAAGACCAGTGATTTTTGTTATTGCATGGCGTTGCAAGACAAAACAAGAAGTACCTTTGCAAGGTCTTGGCGATCGATTTTGAAAATATTTGCTTTGGGTGAAAAAATAGCTAGCCACAGAATCATCGGGCTAATAGATATTTAGATAAAAGGAACATTTACCTTTACTGGCGAGAAAATATTGAACTACGAGGCCCCTTAAGGTCGAGTCAAGGAGTATCACTTTACGGGCGAGTTTTTCATTACATGTTTCCCGAAATCGTTTTTTAATATAAAATTTCATTATGCATGGCTAATGACAGGCGGCAGGAAAATGAGTCTGGTAAAGTGTTACTACTACTGTCATGGAAACTAAAATTTCCTGACATACAGGAGGTATGTAAATGAAGGTTTCATGACGATTTCCTCAAAAATTTTACGAGTAGGCCGTCGCGCACTTGGGCGCGGTGCGGCAAAGCGCCTTTTTCGCTTACATTGATTTAAAATAGGCAAACACTCACTTGAGCGTAGCGCGGCGCGGCGTGGAGTATCGGCATGGTGATTTAAAAAGGCTTTGACGCCTTTTAAGATGCTCGGGCGACTGTAGATCATGTTTTAGTTAGTCTATATTTAAAAGTGCGGCGTCTTGAAAGGTAATTTAGAGCGAGGTAGGTTCGGTTAGCATAATATTTTGCAAAATAGGTAAAGGTTGACCCCTTAGCTGCTGCAGAAACTAACAAAATTTGCGGGTCTCAATTGCAAATCGAATGGTAATATGGCCATTAACAGGGCCGGTGTTCGCTCTGTGTGCCCCTGTCTGCAAACTGCAAAAGGGCGCCCTGGACGAGGGCACTTATCAGTTATGTGTGTATGTTGAGTGGGGAGAAGGGGCACTGGAAGTTTCTCGCGGAAACATTTTTAAAAAATTATTCCTAAAATAGCGAATTTTAATGTTCTCCAGGTGATCAGTGTAGTCGTTGTTTCCGTTGATTTTAATTTTATTTTCCTAATGAATGAAACCGCATTCCGAATAATCAATTTTGTATATTTTAAAGGGAAATTATTTACGTACAGAAATGGAAATACTTGCAATTAAACTTCTGCAGTTTAAAGTTCATGAAAGTTTATTGAAAAGCTATTTTTCGTGATTTTAAATTCACGCAAAAGCGACAGAGAGCTAACTAAACTAACATAATAATACGTATATTTCAATATTTGTGATATCGTACACACACATATTGTAGGTACATACCAGGTTGGTTCAAATTCGTAGCTCACCATTGGGATATCCTTAACGGCGAGAGATACAGTGTAGGTTATAGATGCTCCTTTTTGTGACTAAAACGCATTTGAAATGCCAATTTTCTAGCTTAAACGGTCCAAAATGGACGTACCCTCTATGGGCATTTTTTTTCGACAAATATGAATCTGTTATATCAGAACTTCCATAATACGTTAGATGTAGAAGCTACAGGCTACCACTTTTTTATTTTATGGATGCCATATTGAACAAAAAAAAAGAAATTCATTTGAATGAACCCTCCACCATATAGCCATATTGATTGAACAAGATCTAGTTACCCGTGGAGGTTTTGTTGAGAAATGAATGTAAAACATTTGATTTTCAAATTTTTTTGGTAGGTAAATTTATGTGAATGTGACACGTTATTATTTTTTATGTTCCCTATCTCATTCCGGAAGAGGCGGAAGAAGCCAATATGGGTCCCATATGAACTAAGAAAGTAATACTTAGTCTGTGGCTTCTACATCTATAGCGTGTTATGGAAATTCTGATAACAGATTCTATAATAACAGATTTTTGAAAAAAAGTGCGCATAGAGGGTACTATCGGGAACTGTCCATTTCCAACCGTTTAAGCTATAGGGACAATGAAACCGTGTCTAATTTTGTGTGGTCATGGGCGAGCAACTATATTTTTTTAAACAAACATCAATAGATTTTTCGTTTCACTCCATTATTAATCATCATTAATTTAGACATTTTTTTTAAACCTGCAGGAATTTTTACGAAGTAAATTAATATAAAGAGCAATTTCAATTTCAGGTGTCTGTAATTTTCGGCGTCATACAATTTTGACTAAACATGTTACGTATATTATTTCTAACAAAAGGTAATTCGATTTTATAAAAAAAAAGATTCTCGAACAAAAAAATGCATAAAGGTATAGTTTAGGCATATCGTTTTAGCAGTGATTGCTTAGTTCAGAATACTGTGTTGTCTTGGAAATTTGTTTAACTTTGGAAAACTCATGAAAAGCATAACGTGTCTTCGACAAATTCCTACCTACATTACGCGTCAAATTTGAAAAATGAATTAAACTGGGTTTTTAGTCTAAACATAATTGACTTGCTTTAAAATTATGCTGTGAGAGTGCCGAGTTTATGTAAGTAAATTGTAGGTACTTTGACAATAGTCTTTAGTCAGAATTAATTTCTATATGTCTTCATATCGGCAAGTAACGTTGTATACTTACACGGCCAAAAAGGATGCAGAGAACTAAACCAAAAT